GTTGGTTGGTTGGTTGGTTGGTTGGTTGGTTGGTTGGTTGGTTGGTTGGTTGGTTGGTTGGTTGGTTGGTTGGTTGGTTGGTTGGTTTTGTTTTTGTTTGGGGGGTATTTTGGTTTTTTGGGTGTGAGGGTTGAGGGGTTGTATATGTAGGTATTTTTACGAGAGGAGGCTGGTGCCTATTTTTCTATCTTAAACTGAAAAGTCCCAGTTTTGAAACAGCAGAACTACAGAAGTTTATTTTTCAAAGTCTGGAAAGGAGGTAGATCTACGACTTTGGATTGTTTCTTAGGTCAAGAACTGACGCAGAGGCTTAAGCACTCACACACTCCCATTAAACCTGCACTGACCTGAACTCAAACTGTCTCTCATTGGGAGTCTCTCTGAGCTTTTCCTTGGTCTTCTGGAATTGCTTTTGGTATTCCATGTTCAGCTGAACACAGTCGTCCAGTCGTTTCAGCAGCTCCTCCCTGAAAACGGAGTGAAATTTCGTGAGTCATCATGGGGAAATCGGTCACTTGTCAAAATAATGAAACCAAAGAAGCCAGCATTTTCCTCTGGCTATTTTTAATTATTGTTCAATGGGGTTGGGTTTTTTGGGGGGGTGGTTGTTTTGTTTTATTTATTTTTTGGGGGGAGGGGTTTATTTAGGGAAGGGGCCTCGGGGTGTTGGCTTAACACATTTATGTCCACCTCCTCTCCTTCTCCTAGTCTCTTCCTCCTCCTCGTCCTCCTCCTAATCATCATCATCATCATCATCATCATCATCATCATCATCATCATCATCATCATCATCATCATCATCATCATTATCATTGTATAAAGAAGGTATTAAAACAGTTAAAACCTTGTTGTGTTTCCAGAAAATATATATTTTACACAGTTCATCAGCAGCAGCAGCAACAACAACAACAACAACAACAACAACAACAATATCACCCTCATAATCATCATTATTGAAAAAAGCAAAGTATGGAAGGATCGAGGATCTTCAGTAAGTTTTGGTCAGTAAATTACATGATTCCTTTAAAAGTGCAGGGGGGGGGTTGGGGGGAGGGGGGTAACTGAAACGGCTCAACGTTTTGCTTTGAAGGCGTCTTTGTGGAAAAAAACAGACAGACAGACAGACAGACAGACAGACAGACAGACAGACAGACAGACAGACAGACAGACTGAGGGAAAGTAAAGAAAAAGGACCTACCAGTGGTGCCCTCCAACCACTCACGCTGTGTCGATTGGGGTGTAAAAAAACACCTACATTGAAAAAAAGAATTAAGTTTTAAAAATCCTCCTAACGTACCTGGAGTGCTCCCAGATTTTCGTGACGCCCTGGTAGATGTACGCCTTACAGGTAGTGATCATCTGATTGGTGACCTTGACGAACAGTGACGTCATCCTCTCCGACGTGTTGTAGTACTGGGAGATGCTGTAGATCATTCTGATCGCGTTCATCAGGCTCGGGATATGCTCTGTCATGGAGGCCTGGGGAAGGAATGTTGAAGAACGGATACTATTACTGATAGTAATACTACTGAGAAGAAGAAGAAGAAGAAGAAGAAGAAGAAGAAGAAGAAGAAGAAGAAGAAGGAGAAGGAGAAGGAGAAGGAGAAGGAGAAGGAGAACGAGAACGAAAAGGAGAACGAGAACGAGAAGGAAAAGGAGAACGAGAACGAGAAGAAGAAGAAGGCTGTGCATACTGTTGGCTGATGTCACGCCCTGTTGCGTCCCTTGTTATGGGAAAGTAGGCAAACTAGTAAGAGGGCGGAGCGAGATGCTCCCCTTGTGGTAAAGTGATTGTGAGCGAAGTCAGCACTTCAACACTCTTCAAGATAAGGTGTTGCTTTACGGTTAGCCCTGTGTATAACCGAGTTGTTGTCATTGTTGTGGTTAACGTTATACAGCACTTGTAACAGAATTAGATCATACAAGTGCCGAAGATTACAAGTGATACAAAAGGGTAACATACACAAAAAAGAAAGAGAGATATGGGAAAATAGATGCTTGGCAGGAAAGAAGGAGAAAACCACAGTAGAGCTTCCGCCCAGCACCCACAACCAACAATCGAGTTGTTTGGAGGAATCATGTTACCAAATGTTTCACGACACGGTGAAAACAGGCGCTCGTCATTATTTGGGATATTTAGAGTTATTGGTATCATCTGAAAGTGTGTTCATCTGTCTTGCTCTCGATGAAAAAAATACGTATCTTGAACTGAAGTGGAGATATTTGCGACTGAAGTATGTGGGGATTGCCTGGTGTCAGGGGAAAAATTAGCGAAAAAATTGCCGTCAAATTTTGATGACTTCAAAAGCAGTAGTGTTCTTGGAAACTGCAAATATGATACATTTCATGCTCATTTGATCAAACTTTTTTGGTAACATTCATTAGAATGAGTTTTAAAGAGGAGACAGAGAGACAGAGAGACAGAGAGACAAAGAGAGAGGGGGGGGGAGATAGCTAAAAAAAACGTGGTCAAAATTGCCCATTAAGCGAAAATACTACAGGTTTCTTTGGTGTTAATTTGGCAATTGCTTCAGGATGACTCTCAAATCAGTATAAGCAGTTGTATTGCTAGAAAGACAAGACGTGGAGCTCACTACCTTAGAGTTAGAGTTTTATCTGGTCAGAACCTACTTTTCAGAAATTTTACGTTTAACATTTCGAATTACAAAATGTGCCAAGCTGTTTCGAGTGCAATTACATGAATATCTTGATAAGGAATAAATTCACGAGTTTGACAGAGGAAATAGAGCATTTGGTTTTTGACTTCATGGTCATAGTAACTCAAAACAGCCTAAATGTCAAAAAGAACTTTGTAATTCTGGGGTACTGGGTTGGTAACTATCAGAGGGCGTAGCAGGCATACGTCCGACCCGACAATCCTAACATCCTTCACTGGCAAATATCTAAACATCTATTCAAGACAAATGGGCATTTTTTTAATCAAAACGCACGGCAAAAGAACAACTTTAAGCATGTGTGGTGCTGTCTGATTTTTTCTGTTTCAGATAAAGAAAACAGAACCGAAAAATCTGTACTAATATAGAAACTATGCCTATATTTTCTTTTGCACCGTGAAAGGAACAGACTTTAATACGTCCTCGATGGGCTGAACTCAAAGAAAGTACGTGTCTGTCTACTCACAGGTGTGCACTTGACCAATGGGCCAAAGAACTTCTCTAAAGTGTACAGGTATTTCACGTTGTCTTTGGCTTCGTTGGCAGCATCAGTGATGCGTCCATCCTGAAACACAGAAAGGTGAAAGATGATAATAAGAAAGTTTTTAATAATCCGTACATACAAGTACATACTTTTGATTTAAGAAT